CAACTAGCTGTTGGAAATCACATGGGCAAGAAACTAGCTTGGGGGATGATTCACAGGAAAAAAAAAAGCAGAGGAGAAAAGGATGAAACACCCCCATTTTCCAAAAGCAGCACAGTAAATTGAATTTGCTTGTTACTACTTTTCACCAAAGAAGTCAATTGTTGAAACTTTCTTACACTGAGTGTGTGGAATGCATAATATGTCTCTTATAGGTTTAGTCTTTAAGTGGGAGCTCCACTACTGGTGCAGCACCACTGTGGCATATGGGTTTTAGTGGCATGGCATGGTTGCTGTTCTGCTGGCGTGAGCCAGCCACTGGAGTGAGTAAAAGGGGGACAGTAGCTCAATTTTGGCTTTGAAGGGTAGCTGTGCTGACACAAGGCCTGATGAAGGGACCTGGCTGTTAGCCAGGGCTTTTGTGGTGAGATTTTGGAGATAGCAGTCCCATTAGTCCAGCCTGGAACATAGGTGTTGGGGACATCCGCCTCCTCCATTGCTGGGGGACATGCTGCTGGTCCAACCTAAAAATTGGAAAGAGCGAGAAGGAGAGGAAAGAAGGAGAGGAGAGAGAAAGTCTGTACAGAATGAACTGAGTGGTTGGAGAGAAAAGCTGGAGAGAGAAATTAAGTGTACGGAGCAGTTGTCAGTTCCTGATTGGGAAGCGTAATGGTATGTGGGAATGACCTTAGGAGACAGGAGGAACAGCCACAGCCTAGACAACAGTCTGATAAATGAGGAAGGGAGGGGTACTTTCAGACTTGCAAGATTCTGTTAATGTAACCTTACAATAAAGATAGAGCTAGTACTTCTGGTTGTGCTTCTTGTTTGGACTACCTCGCTAGGTTAACATCAATCTTGCAAATCTGAAAGTACCCCTCCCTTTCTTCACTTTTCCTGTCCCAAAAACTAGGGAGGGTCCCTTCTGAAACGCTTTTGCCAACCCTCCTCCTTTGGACTCAAATTTCCTTTATCGGACCATTGCCTAGGCTACAGCTCTTCCTCCTGTCTCCAAGGTCAAGCCCACATGCCATTACAGGAAGGGAGAAGAAAAGTCCAGGGGTGGGTTCCCTGGAAGATGGGAAGTGAAAACCTAGAGGAATGAGACCTCCACCCCAGGCCCAAGAATGAGAAGGGAGGATTCAACTGGCTGTAGGCAGTGGCTTCACCCAACGCCCCAGAGAGGAAGGAAGAGATCAGCTATTTGTGGAGAAACCCTGGTCCTTGGGGAAGGACTGAGCAGAAGACCCTGGGAGAGGTTCTTCCCACAATAGAGAAGCAGTAGGTGTTTGGCTGAGCGGTTCCAGGAGGAGGTCAAGCCACACCACAGTAAATTCTAGTCCTTTCCTTTCTTTTTACTCTCTCTCTCACTTGACAAACCCAGAAAAGGGGGAGGGAGACAGAGAGAAAGGGAGAGGAATCAGGAGAGCTAGAGGGGAATAGTATCTCAGAGGGAGACTTGATACCAGGTGAACGCCAGTATTGTATACCTGTTGTACCTGTTGTAAATACCTACTATAAATAACATCACTGTATATGGAGTAGTAAAAAGCATAAAAGCCTCCACTGTCTTGCTTTTCTGTATCAATTGCCACCCGTGCAAAACAATAAACCTCCAGTTCAAAAAAGAACCCATCACACTGTGACAACCACATCTGGTGAAACATTAACTGGTTAATCCCTACTGATTTCAAATGCCCCAAGGCCAGAATGATTTCATTTCTACCTGTAGCTTTTGAATCAGTAACTGTTGGCATGCAGGATAGTCATAATTCTCAAGCTGCTCCCTCCCCATAGAGTTTTGTTGCCTTTTGCAACACATAGATCTGAAGTGACAACTCTGATTGTTTAAATACACAACTTTTTAAAAAAATGGCTAACATTCCATCAATGAAATGCACCATGAATGGCTGCAAAATGAGTAAAGCTATAGGATATTGTGAATTAAGTTTCATTTAAACCCCACATTTTGAATAAAAAAGAGAACACATTTATAATACTTTTGTCTTACTTGTAATTTCTTTCCCAGAACTTGACTGGTCTGGCATATGAGGTGAGAAAAATGACACTCCCTAGAAATGGACTCAAGGGAGTAGAAAAGATTGCAGTGGCCAGAGTTTGACAGAAAAGCATTGCAGAGTCTGAAAACTTCAAGTTAAGGTAGCATAAATAGATTTCACTGTATTTTACATTGTCCTTTAGGCACCTTCTGACTTATTTTCTTCCCCAAAAGACAGATGCAGTGAAGAGCTAAAAAACCCAGAAAAATTGTGATTATTTAGAATTCCATGTAATGAACACACTGAAGCTATAACACAATGGACTCATAATTCATGCTAGTTTAGGATAGGAAGTCACAGCCAAGTACAAGAAGAAAAAAGGTATGGGAAACAAATGGAGAATATTAGAGGAAGGCAGCAAAACTCTGTGGGAAGCTCATGTCAGACAGTGGAATGGGCAACTGATAATGTGAACACTACAGGTTCCTGTGCAATCACAGTGGGCCTATGGGTTGGACCTCTCTACCTCCAGTAAGTTGAACATCTCCCCTTGAAGGTAATCACTGGTGTCTTATCCCAAGCTTCTCTGCTTGGATTGAGCAGGTCTATTGGTGAGAGATACAGTACTCTTAAAAATAGTGGGCTTTTAGTGCAAATATCTATAAATATTCAACCCATATAAATGTTCCCCTGAAATGAATGGAAAAAGGCTTGCAAGTTATCGATAAAGACAAAATAAATACAATGTAATCTGCCAGAGTACTGTAAGTGGCAAACTTTAAAATCTAAGCACTTTAAGTCCCCACCCTGTCATCTGGGAAGTATTTCATCTAGTATGTAAATACGGAACCTCAGAAAAAAATGATTTTTCTCAACTTGGCTGAAATTGCTTATACAATTTGTGAAAGTATCAGGGACATGCTGTCTTTCTTTAATTAAATGCACAACTGCACAAAAAATAATGAAACACACTTCTCATTTCCTATCTTACCTTACTTTTATCTATTTAATAATGTAAATTTCTTTTTCCCAAGTTTTGTACATAGCTAATTTTCTTGGAATGATGTACTTAAAAAAGAAACAAAACGAACCAAGCAGAACAGTCGCGATCTACTGTATATAAATGACTCACAGACCTCAGGCTGAATACAGAGCAAAACAGCAAACCGTTTTCTTAAAAGGATATGAGGTATTGCAAAGAGCTGAGCGAACACATGGAAAGATGAGCCCCAGGCAATTTGCCAAGGAGCAATATAAGTCATTATGAACTGTAATTTCTGTAGTAGATCCCACAGCTGAAAACGAAAGAGAAAAAAATGGATGATAGCATATATAAAGTCTATATTTAAAAAAAAACACCACCAACCACTTGACTTTCTCTATTTACTACACACACACAAAGATTTCTTTTCAATTATACTTGTCTTAGATATTATGATTCAACTCAGTCAGTGACACTGAATTATTTTTATAATCTGAGGACAGTAACCAGAATAATCTCATGGAACATGTCTGTTACGAAAAATCAGATCGAACCCTTCACATTATCTCATTTAGAAAACAGGAACTTCTCTTTTAAAAAGTTATCTTTTATAACCCACAAATTGGGTGGGGTGGGAGCATAAGCCAGGATAAATTTTGAAGAAAAAAAATGGATAAGGATGTTCAACTCCATTTTACTTAGCACGTTCCATGTCTTGTTGTCCTAAAATGAAATTCATTGTTAGGAGAAGAAATAAGGCCAGGCTGAAAAGAATCTGCATCCCTGCCACTTTATAATAGACTCTCCCTAGGGTCTGATATTGATGGAAGCAGCATAAAAGCACCTGTAACATATACATACATAAATACATGCACAGAGAGAATTATGATTGCACATGAAAGTAAGGCCGTATCTCTATTAACCAAGACAAAAGCACCAAATGCTGAAAAGCATTTCTATAAATGGGAAATAGCATATATTCTCTTGCCTTTCCCATAAATCAAATTTCTGTTCACAAGTCCTTTTCACCAAAGGCAGGAGGAGAAAGGGAATTATAATTTTAACCAGGCCTTTTCAGCAAAATGTGCAAGTAGACAAATTATGTGAATCAGGAATATTAGTAACCATTATGTGAATCTGCAGAATCTCAATTTGCAGAACACCTATCTGCACAGCATTTCTGTGTTATCACAACACTTTGGGGTTGTTTTTAATGCAGAATTTATTACTCCAAGATTCACAGAGCTGGTAACTACATAACTGTAGTACATAACAGTACACACATCGTACTGATTCCATTACTGAAATTGAGTCATAGGAAATAGCCAAATCCAGAAAATATTTGTCAATTTGTAGTACAGTATAATTTAACATTTATCTCCCTAACGTGCATTACTCATGAACACTTTCAGTGATCTTTCTGCATCTTTAGAGAAAATTGGCAGAGCTGGGGGATTAGCAAATAGCTGACAGTGAAGATTCCTCTTGCATTTCAGTTTGTTTTTATAACTCTCACTCATAAACATCCCAAGTCGTTTTGGGTGTTCCTTGTTTTTTTTGTTACGTCTTTATTTATTTTTGAATAGTAGAAGTGGATAGCCTTTGCCCACAGGAGGCAAGTGGACAACCAGGACTTCTTTGGGGATATCCAGAGAACCTCTGGGGAGGGCATTTTCTGGCTATTTTTGCATTTTTAAGGATTTGTCTCAAGCTCTGTATGCTATGGCATGCTTCCTTTTGGATGCATTAAATGAGTGTCGTAAGCGTTTTATCTTTGAAAAAGGGTTCTGGTTTTCTCTTCTTGCAGATCAGAATTTATGCACTGAGAATTGCAAAATTCTCTTAGAAATAAATTTGCACCTGCTGATATGCAAAAAGAGTCAATGCGAGTGTTTGGCCCTGCTAAGGATTCATCAGACCATATCTTTGTGAGTCAGTTTTGGGAGTTAAATTTCTAGCTTCCCTTCCAGTGTGCCAAATGAATGCACTCTACACTGGATAAGACATTCCTGACCTTCTGGGGGAAAATGTAACTCCCAAAGGTTCTTTCATAGCTTTGAATATAATTCATTTCTGACCACAGAACACCTAGAGACCTGACTGTTCTGGTCTGGGAGGTGAAAAATATTTAAAGCCGACTGAATCAATGCATAGAAGGGAATTTCTGGGGAAAGCTGTATTTCCTGGAGACTGTCCCAGAATCTTGAATATATTTCATTCCCAGTGGCTAGATGTCAGTGTTGGGGCAACCGTTATGGCAAGCGGGGTGAAAAGATATTCCTGGATGAGTCAGTCAATAGGTAACAGATCCAAAAAATTGTGGCAAAAAGCAGTGCACATAAGCAGACTGTCAGCTAAACCTCTTTAGTTGGAGAATTAGATATCACTTACTGTGCAGGGCACAAAATTCTCCTCAGCACATAACATAATTTTATAGATTTCCCCTTTGTACCTCCCCCAAACTATTCCAGGGCATTTAAGAAATCCCCCAGAACAGTATGAAAGGCAGTATAAAAGACAAGAGAAACTTCCACTGAATCAAAGTCTCTTCTTGAGATACTTCATTACAACCCATTGTTATGTCTGAAGAAGTCCCAGCAGGTGGCTTGTGCTCTGAGCTTATGTTGGCAGGTTCATTTTGAAACATTTTTTCATAAAATATTCTGACAGTCTTTCACCTAACTGACAATCAGAGCCAAGCACTCACTTGCCAAAACACAAAGACTAAACCAGGCATGTCTTGCATTTCAGACTAAGGTAGGGAATACCTGTTCAACAAAGATGTTGAAGTCAAAAATAATATTTTATCTGATCACTGACAAAACAAAAAACAGCATCTTTCTGCAAACAGGAACACTGCCTTGCTATATGGTACGAAAAGCCTTGAAGACCTGAACCACTGAATTCTCCATTTAAAAAAGGCTATATTACCTTTTCCTGCATCTCCTCTAAAACCATGTGAAACAGGTACATAATATAGTCTGTGGAACGGTATGTTAGAAAGCCACATAAATAGGAAACCAGACTGTTGAGGAAATAACCTATATTCAGATTTTTTTAAATGCAAGTATAATAAATCTGCAGTCATACTACCTAGGCAAACTGAAAGGGTTTGTAAAAAGGAGGTGGTGGTCTACATTTATGTGGTACAGTATTTTTGAATGATTTGGTCTCTTTTATCTTGAAAAGTCCATACCTACTGAGGGGAAAAATGGCTTTCAGAATCCACTGAGTGGGTTTGTGAGGGAAAATAAATAACGGCACTCAGTAATAGACCAGGTCATAAAGAGAAAAAGGTGGTGTAGGCAATAAAGACCCCAAGCAATTATATTGATTCACTCTTTGACCTTCCTGGATTGCATTAATTAAAGGCAAAAGGAACCAACTGGATTTCTGATTAGTATGAGGCTGCTACTTTAGGCAACTGATTATCAGTGATATAAACAGCAACAAATTGTTGGCTGAATAACTGATGATTGTAATTTTATATTGGGGATAAGAGGCACTTGTGGGATTTCCTACTTCTGATATCAGAAAAGCTTGACTGGCCTTCAGACCTATGTAGTTTTGTGTCTGTATGTTTGTGCATGATTTGCTGCTTTCCTTCAGGCAGTAAGTACCTTGCAGCCCTGGCAAGAGATAAAATTATTACAACACCTATTACTGATAGCATTTGAAAAAAAAATGCCATCTAGAGTCAAAACCATGTTGAGAATACTGCCTATTATGATTTTATTGCCTGGCCTTTGAAGAATTACAGAGAAACTGGATGTGTACCTACAATCACTGCTTTGATGGGATATTCGCTTAAAATTCCAAGCAAACTAACTTGGTCACACGGTTGAGGAGACCTAGGTCAAAGCAAGTGGTAAAAAGAATGCCCTCATCATTGAGAGCTTCAAAGTTGGAACTTTACTCTTTACTCTTCAAGTTCTTTTTAATGACTTGGAGGTAGAGGTGGACAAATTCTTATCAAAACTGCAGCTGACACAGAACAAGGTGAGGTAGCTAATACCCTAGCAAACCAAAACAAAATCTGAGATGAACTTAATAGTTTAGAGAAAGTTAATATTGACAAATGCAAAGTTCTTCACTTAGGTAGAAGAAATCACATGCAGAGTTATATAGTGGCAAATGGTTTGGTAATACCATGTGTAAAAAGAATCTGGATCGCTCAGCAGTATGACATGGCTGCCAAAAAGGAAATTTTAGACTGCATCATAAGAAGTACACTTTTCAAATCACAGGTCAGTGTGTACCTTGAATATTGTGTTCGGTGCTGGGCACCATATTTTAAGAAAGATTCAGAGAAAACTCAGACAAGTTCGAATAAGATAATTAGAGGATGCCAAACTAGGTCTTATGAGGAGAGACTTAAGGCTTTGTTTTAAAGCAAGAAAGAAGAGCTGTGCAGTGATTCAATTCTGAAGAGCTGCTTCATAACACATGGGAGACCAAATGCAGCATCTGACTATGATTCATTAAAGCAGCAGCTGCATGATCCTGCTGCTTTAATCACATGAAGACAGGGGCTGAATTAAGGTTCCAGCACATATCAAACCACCTCTTCCAAACTGAATTTAAAGCATTTATCCTATCAATGGAGGTGAATATGTGTAGCTCAGGGCTGAACTGTGGAGTCCTTGGGGTTCTCTGAGCTTGGTTCTTTT